CAACACCGAGGGTTGCGATCCCGTTACCGGTCAGTAAAAAAGACAAAAAGGAAAAAAAAAAAAAAGAAGATGACATCAAAACATGCTTATAAAGTGGAGGGAAACAATAGAAATCAGTTCATGTACTATGGTTATCACTACATAAAGAAAACCATATGTAGGTAACAAATATGCCAAAATACCAACAGTTGGTATGACTAATAATTTCTTTGTACTTTCAAAATTGTTTCCAATGTAGTTATATTACATTTAGAATGAAAATAACTTCCCAAGGGATTCAACTAAATAATCTCCAAGATTCTTTCTCACTCTAATATTCTGTGGCTTTTCTCTGGAACTAGGAGTAGAGGTCAGGCAAGAGTAAAATGTTTTTTTAAAAAGTTTAGATGGCAGGGGCTATGCCTATTTAAATTACTTTAACAGCACTCAAACAGCACATAAGAACATCTGAGAACTAGCACTTGGGGAAATGATGCAACACCCCCCATCTGGCAGAAAGGGCACAAGTCTGGGAAATAGGAGATCTGAGTTGAACCAGATGATCTCCAAGGACCCTCTCCAAACGACTTTTCCCTCTACTTATTGAACAAGAATTTACCAAATGTTTACTATGTGCCAAAAACCATGTAGCTGAATGGCTACTGAATCACTGGTTCAGAGTCTAGTGAGGGAGAAAGATTTTGTTTTAGTTTGCTAGGGCTGCCATAACAAAATACCATAGTCTGGGAGGCTGAAACAATAGAAATTTATTTTCTCATAGTTCTAGAGGCTGAAAATACAGGATCAAGGTGTCAGCAGGGCTGTTTTCTTCTGAGGCCCCCCTCCTTGACTTGCAAATGGCTGCTGTTTTAATTCAGGTTGCTAGAGCAAAGTACCATAGATTGGGTGGCTTACAAACAATATAAATTTATTTCTCATGGTTCTGGAGGCTAGATACTCCAGATCAGAGTGCCAGCATAGTAGGGTTCTGCTGAGGATCCTCTTCCAGGTTGCAGATAGCCGACCTCTCCTTGTATCGTCACAGAGCAGAAAGAGAGAAAGAATTCTCTAGGGTCCTTTTTATAAGGGGACTAATACCATTCATGAGGGCTCCATTCTCATGACCCAATTACCTCCCAAAGTCCCTACCTCCTAATACTATCACACTGGGGATTAGGATTTCAATATATGAACTTTGGGGGAGACACAAACATTCTGTCCATAACAACTGCCTTTGCGCTGTGTCCTCACATGATTTTTTCTCTGTGCACACACGTCCCTGAGGTCTTTTTGTGTGTCCAAATCTCCTCTGTTTATAAGGACACCAGCCAAATTAAATTAGGGCCCACCATAAAGGCCTCATTTTAACCTAATTGCCTCTTTAAAGGCCCTATCTCCAAATACAGTTACTCTGAGGTACTGGGGGTTAGGGCTTCAGCATGTGAATTTGGGGGGACACAGTTCAGTCCATAACAGATTTCAAACAACAAATTATAACTGTGCAATAACAGAGCTGCATGTAAGTACAATAGAAACCATGTGAAGGCATAATTAATTCTGATAGGAAACATGAGAAACTACTGTACAGAGGAGGTATCATCTGAGCTCAGTTCTAGCTTGATAATCTCAAGTCTATAAACCATCCTCCTTGATTATCATAAAAATACCTTAGATATCACAAAATAGAGATAAGACAGAATCAGATGATAAAACAGTCTTGGATAGAGGCCAAAAGAGGAATGTATTTGTTCCAGAAGAACACAGGTAAATACCATCCTCTTATAGTTGAACTAGGATTGTAAATCAAATACAGCAACTTGGAAGTCAGGTGAAAATCCTGGTTTGTAGAATAATCTTCCCCTTGCCCTCACTCCTTAAGTCATAAGGATTTTAATGTGTGGGATGGGGGAGGGTGGGGAGCGTGCAAGGTCTTGATAAAGCCCCACCTCTGTCCTCTCTTCCATCCAGAAGGCATTCTTTCCCCACCTAACTTCAGTTAAGCTTACCTCTAGGGCAGATTTTAAGCCTCAATTCCTTATCCATTTGAAATACTCCTCTCTTGAAGTAACCTAGATCCCTGAAGTCAAAAAAAGAAAAAAAAAAA